CCATGAGATAGGAACTCAGAAAAAGCAGGGGAAGCTATTCTGATTGCTTAAAATGTCAGCTTCAAATCAAGAATGATCAAAAGAGATCAATAAGGTCATTGTATATTTATAGGGGAAAACTGCAAGAGGAAGAAATAGGAATCACAAATATATATGCACCTTACACAGAAGCACCCAACTATATAAGACACATTTTAACAGATATGAGAAGTCAAATGAACAATAGCACAATTGCAATGGAAAACTTTAGTGGGCCAAAACTAGTCAAAATATGAATAAAGAAATAACATAATTAAATCAAACTTGTGAAGAGATGGTTTAATAGAGCTTTCCATAGTGTTCAACCCAAAACACAAGAATACACTATCTTCGCAATGGCACATGGATACAACATACACTAGCACATAGAGCATGCGTAAGTGAATGTCAGGGAATTTAAATTATCTCATCATATTATCTGACCATAGTGCAATACAACTGGAAATTATTGAAAAAAGAAATTGCGAAAATTCCATAAACACGTGGAAGATAAACAACACCCTACCTAAAATCAATGGTCACACATTAAAGAAGACATTAAACATTATCTTCAATCAAAGGAAAATGCTGATACAACTTATTAGAACCTACGAGCACAATGAAAGCAGTCTCTCTCTCTCTCTCTCTCTCTCTCTCTCTCTCTCTCTCTCTCTCTCTCTCTGTCTCTCTCTCTCTCTCTCTCTCTGTCTCTCTGAAATCAAACACAGGACCTTCTATTTGGCAGGTAGAAATTTATGCTATTGAGCTGTATCTCTAGCTCTATAAAAGTAGTGTTACGATGGAAATGTACAGCACTAAATTCTCACATCAGGAAAACAGAACAAGCTCAAACTAAATCTTTATTGTACATCTCAGGTTCCTAAAAAACAAGAGCAAGACAAAAGGCCGGTGGTAAAGCTCAGCAGACTAAGAGCTTGCTCAGGTAACGCAGGGGTCAGCGTTCAATTCCTGGCACCGCATGCCATCCTGACCCCACTCTTGGGTGTGCGGAGCCTGCGATGCAGTCCAGGGGTGGTGGCACACGCCTGTAACCCCAGCACTAGGTATGCAGAAATCAGGTGCACTACGAGTCTGAGCTGTGTAGTGAGACCATGCATACAAAAAAGATAGAAGAAGAGCAAGACAAGCACAAATCTGAAAGAAGGAGGGAATTTATAAATATCAGAGTAGAAAATAGCAGAATGCAGGTAAAGAAAGCAATACAAAACAATGAAAGAACTGAAGAGTTGGTTCTTTGTTTTTTTTTTCTTTTCAAAGTTTTATTGATAAACATATAGCAATGAGACAGTTTCAAATCAAATCGAAAGTACAGTTTCAACAAATAATACACTGCATATATTCTTCTCAGTGGTTAATTGCTGTACAAGATGCAGACTTGTGATCCTACTTACAAACACCATTAGAAAAAATCATTCTATTCATTAAGAGAATGCAACTATATATCTATCCCAACCACTTTGAATACACAGATACAAAATGGACATTCATAGTTATACCCCAATTTTTTTTAAGTTCCGTTGTTGAATATTATAGGTGTGTAAACACAGCAAAATATTCTAAAAGAGTACAGAAGCCCATAATAGCATTGGGTCTTCTGTTTAATTGGCAATATCAGAAATTATTGACATGAGTCCCCCACAGCTCAACATAACAACATGGCTTTACTTCCTATATTTCATCTTCATACTTTTCTACTGGATGGTTAAGACCAAGGTAAAGCAGAACCTATGCAACAAGAGTTGTAGCTTTTTGGTTTGAGAAGGTCAGTGAAATGCCCTCAGGATTTATCCTGAGATCCTGTACCTCAGACTGTAGAACCTTTGTCAGTGCAGCCATGTGGATGAGTCACGGCCATTGCTTGGCCAATGTGCTAAGAGTTGGTTCTTTGAAGGAATAAATAAAATTGATAAACCTCTAGCCAGCCTGAACAAAAAGAGGAAAGAAAAAAAAATTCATGCAATAAGGAATAAGCAGGGTGAAATACTAAAGACTATATGGAAACTGAGAAAATCATCAATGCCTACTTCAAAATGTTCACGCTCAAAGGATAGAAAACAAAAAAAAAAAATGAATGGATTGCTAGAAATATATGAGTTGCTAAAGCTGAATCAAGAAGGTATAAAATTTCTGAATATCATATATCAGTCAATGAAATTCAAAATGTAATAAAATGCATATCAAAAAAGAAAACTCCAGGTCCTAATGCATTCATAGCTAAATTCTGTAAGAAAGGCAGAGATGATTTAATGCCAACTCATCTCAAACTCTAAAGTGACATTAAAAGGAACGGATTTTTTTCCCAAAAGCTACACCTAGGAAACAAGTAGTATTCAGCTACCAAAACCAGAGAAAGATCAAGCAAAAAGACAACCATAAACCTTTTTCCCTATTAACAGATAAAAAATTCTCAATAAAATAAGAGGAAATAGAATTCAGCAAATCATTAAGTTTATCCATCAGGACCAAGAGGGATTCATCCCAGAGAAGCAGAAATAGTTCAGTGCATGCAAATCAAGAAATGTATCACACTACATCAATAGAGTAGAGACAAAAGTCACATGAATATTATGATCATCTCAATAGATGCAGCGAAGCTTTTGATGAAGATAAGTAATCACACATGATCAAAACCCTGTAGAAAATTGGATTAGATACTCTATATCTCATGATGATAAAAGCCATCTATGGGAAACCAAAAGCCAACATCCTACAAAATGGGCAAAGACTTATAGCCTTCACTTTAAAAATCAGTAACAAGACAATGATGTCCACTGTCATCACTCATATTCAATATAGTTCTGCAAACATTACCTAGAGCAATTAGACAAAAGAGATAAATAAAAGGAATAATGACTAAAAAGGAATAAGTGAAATTATGATTATTCACAAACCTACCATGACTTTACATAGAAGACATAAAAGCCTCCACCAAGAGACTTGTAGATTTAATAAACAAATTAAGTAGAGTAGCAGGATGTAAGTCAACACTCAAAAATTAATAGAATTGCTGTACAAAAGCAGCAAACACACCAAGAGAAAGTGGATGAATCCCATCTTTCACGATAACATCAAAAAATATACTTGTTTATCAGTCAGCCACAGAGGTAAATGATATGTACATTGAAACTTAAAACATTCTAGAAAAATAAATCAAAGGGATTTCTGAAAATGAAAATATATCCTCGCTCATGGTAGGAAGTACCAACCTTTTGAAAATGACCATACTCTCAAAATTGTTATACTCATTCAATGTATTCCTAATTAAAATATCACCAGTGTACTTTACTGATCTAGAGCAAACACTCCAAAAATTCACCTGGAACCAGAAGAGACCTATAATAGCAAAACCCATCTTTGGAAACCACAGAAAGGCAGGAGGCATTACAATCCCTGACTTGAAGTTATACTACAAAGATACTGTGATAAAATAAGCAAGCTACTGGTAAAAATAGTCCTGAGGATCAATAGAAAGTATTAAAACTGAAGATACAACTAGAAACACACAAAGCCATCTTAATTTTGATAAAAGAGAAAAATATATTTGCTGGAGAAAAGCCTCTTTAATAAATGGTGCTGAGAAAAGCTGATTTTCCACATGCCAAAAAAGAAAACCGGACCCATGACTATCATCATGCACTAAAATAAAGTAAAGCTTGTCGAAGATTTAAGTATTAAAAGAGAAACACTAAACACTGGAAGAAATTAGGTTGGTGGGCATGTAAACTGGTGCAACCGCTGTGGAAATCAGTATAAAGAATCCTCAAAGTTCTAGGATTAGAAGTCCTGTTCTATCAAGCTGTTGTACGTCTGGGAATTTTTCCCTAAAATTTGAAAACATCGTAACACAGCTATACATGTGCATCTGTGTTTATAGCAGGACAATTTGTCATAGCTGAATGTTAGAAACAACCAAAATGCCCATCAATTAAGGAATGGAAGAAAAGGATGTGACATTTTTATACAATGGAGTTTTCCTCAGATATAAAGAAGTATAAACTTGAGACTTTTATTGGTACATGAATGTAATTAGAAACCATATAAATAAATGAAATGCAACACATAAACCTGTCTAAAGCTGGTATTGTCTCCCTAATGTAAGAAACTGAAAGAGTAAATATTGTCAGCATTAAAGAATGCATGTTTTGAAAGGGAAAGCATCTTATCAGAAAGAAAGAACCTCTGGGAGAGGGGAGAAAGAAAGAAGGGAGGATAATAGTGCTATTAATTTAGATTGGTTTTCTGAAATTAACAATTAATGCTTAATTGTTTGATCAATTTTGCATGCCTAGATCTGAAAATCTGAACAACTACTTTGAAGATAACAACAAGCAATGTAACACACATTATCAATTTTCTATTATCTTATTTTGCAATTCTGTACCGTTTATATCTTTCTGTTACTTTTGCTGTGCTGCCCCTGTGGCTCACTGAGATGGCGATTGAGACTGGGTGTGGTGGTGCACATTTGTAACCCCATGGCTTTGAAGGCTGAAAACAGGAGGATCACTATGAGTCTGTTCTGCATAGTGAGACCCTGTAGACCGTGTACTAAATACGTAAAAATAAAATAAGAGTTATCTTCTTGATAATTATGATTCAAACATTTAAAAATATTTTATTTATTTATTTGGTACAGGGTCTCCTTATGCACTCTGAAACCTAGTGATCCTCCTTTTCCAAATTTCTTTCACCATCTCCCAATGTTGCGGTTTCAGGCATGTCCCACCACTTCCGGTTTTCTTAGCCAGCAGGGCTGTCAGCAAGAAATTTGGTAGCAAGGGTCGACCCCGGGTCCTTGTGCTTGCCAGGCAGGCACTGAAAATGCAGAGCTATTTCCCCAGCCCATGACACAAATCTTGTACTTTGTGGAAATGATTTTAATATTCTTTGCTGAGGCACACAGATCAACCTGAGAGAGGTACCTTGGTTACATGCATGCCATCCAAGAGAAGACACGTTACCTGCCAGTGGGGAAACACTGTCATTTGTCCATTTCTCATTGGTAGCCTTTGTACTTCTTCAGAAAACATTGCCTGAAGAGCATGGGCCACAGCGTACACTGCATTGTATATATTGTAGCTCCCATCACTCATTTCTACCTCAACACGATTCGGAGGCAACCAAACCAGAGAGGCATTAGGTGTGCAGTTCTTCAAGGCACAGTCAGACTCAAAGAACGAGCAATCAAAATTCTTGGACCAGTACATAAAGAGGTAAGTGTCTTCTGGGTATTTGAAAGGGGTAGCTGCCTGGATCAAATTTTTGAAACCTGAAATTTCCTGGTGGTGGTGTGAAAAAACAAGAATTCCATGGAATGGGTCCAGTATGAAGTCTTTACCAGCCAGGTCTGCATGCCATTGTGAGTTGGTCACCCAGACTTTCCAGGTTACTAAGTGTTGTATTATATTGTAGTTTACATCATGTCGACTATCAGTACCACAGTAAATGACCACCACATTGGTAGATGATGTATCTGTGGTCAGAATATCATGTTTCTGTGTGACTGGGAGATAAGACACAGCTACAGTTGACACTATCTTCACAAAGGCCAGACAAACTGTTGATGTCCATCTCAGCTCTTATATCTGAAAGAAACTGAAGATCTTTGTGGCCCTCTGTGATGAGCAGGCCCACCCATGTCCAGTGGAAATGAAGCATCAAGGACAACATGGCAAGGGCCAGATATGTGTCCTTTGGGGCCACTTAAAGGAGAGAAGGATACTGGCTAGTGTCCATCTGTTCAGTATCAAATGAACCAAAGGTAACCTTAAAGGAAAAAATAGAATAACACAGTACACTGAAGTGTTAATGGAAACCATAGTAGACTTGAAGCATACTATGCAAAAATTTTCAGTCATATAAGGAGACAAATGTTCTGATCTTTCTTTCCAATCATCTCACTCCTTAAACTCTTTTTATAAAATGTAAAGTAACATAGTCAGACACCCAAGACATGACTTTGTTTTCATCCTCCAATGAAGAAAAATAAATTGTGTTAAATATATAAGAATCTATGTACAGAATCTATTGCATTATACACTTTAAATTATGCTAATCCCAGTCTCATTTTTAACCTTTTATACTCCTGGTACGTGAGGCTCATGGATGTGCTTCCACCATTTCCTGTCCCATCAGCCCTCACCTGTGGAAATCTGTAGAGTTCCAGCAGTGGTCCAATCTGAGCTGAGGCATCCCATGGCAGTTCTCTCATTACTGCTACACACTTTCTTTTTCTTCTACATGTGTAATTAGGGAGCTTGTGTTGTCCTGATAATAAAATGATGGGATTTTCTAGCATCCCTCAATGGCTGTAAATCAAATTATGGAACTCATAGCCCAGAGTAATGTTGGGTAAAAGATGAGGATTCCTGTTGATCTCTTCTATGGGAAAAATGAAGGCCAGGTAGTTCTGGTAGTTGCTGAGAGTAAACCTGCATAGAGAGCACAGATCTTTTTAAGGGAAAGGCTCAATCAATGATTATCTCCCAATCTAGTTCAAAACTATTTATGATACAAATGCTTGTGTACCTCCTCCACAGTCATATCATTAGAACCTAAACATGAATGTTGTCACACTCCATGTTTAATTTTTTCTACATAATTAGCATTAGGTGCATCATGGGCATGAATTTCTCAGAAAGGAATTTAGTGGCATTACAAGATTGAAACAAGAGTTGTTTCACGGTTATGTTATGTGAGGGCCATTGACAACACTGTCACATATAAACTAGGGAACGGATTCTCTCTTGATTTTCCTCAGCCTATGCAACTATTAGAATTAGATGATTATTTATTTACCCATGTGTTTTTCGTCCATGTTTCTGCAGCAGGCTTGTAAAAGCAAAATATGACAATTTGTGACTTTCCTATCAAAGTAGACCACAAATTCTTAAAAAAGAAATATAATGTGTGATAATTAATATTATTTTCTTGTTTATACTAAGTATACTTTACTGTCAGTTTTGAGATAACTTCTAGATTGACTTCTAGGCTTATAAATTGATTTTTCCTTTTTATTTGACTCTATCCCTGCACTTGGGTGAGTTACGTTGTCTAACGTTGTTGGCGAGCCTGCCCACCAGAAAGCACAGTTGACCACCCTATGATGACTCCTCAGCTTACATTTATGGAATGAGAGAAGCCACTGTGGAGCTCATCAATCCTACTGTTTCACTAACAGCCTTGGAAGGTTCCCTTTCACAGTGAAGTGGAAAAGTTTAAAGAGATGTTGCATCACATGTAGATGAAAATTGATAAATAAAACAATTGTGTCAAAACACTTCATATGCCCTTCAAAATGTGATGCATACAAATTAGCTGTGAGGAGGAACTAAAAATATAAAGTGATCACTATCAACCAGTTTAACTTAATTTTGGGTTATCTGTATTTGGAGAGAAAGGAAAAAGCAAGCATGTTCATAATTTCATTTAACTCTTGGATGTCTTCAGTGAAAGACTTCAGATTGTGGTTTTGTATGAGGTGCTCCATTAAGATTTTTTAGGGGGGGGGGTCAGTGAGATAGCTCAAAAGACTAAAGTAACTGCTTAGGCAAGCTTAGGCAAGTGCAGGGACCGCGGTTCAAAGCCCAGAAACACATGCTATGTCAGCCCTGGCCCACTGAGTGGACCATTGTGACCTGGCATGGTGACACATACCTGTTATCCCAGCTCTAGGGAGGCTCAAAATTGAAGGATCACTATGAGTCAGACCCGTTTAGTGAGATTCTCTACCATTTTTTTTCTTTTTTAAAAGAATTCATCTTTTTAAAAAAGCATTACAGTAGCCAGAGGCTATTAGACATAAAATGTATAACAATAGCATGATAGTAAAGGGTCACTTGTTAAACAGAAATTTTGTTGTGGTATAATGACCTAAACTACACTGTGATAGCAATAACAATGACACTGTATACTTAAATATCTATTTAGAAATTGTGTATAATACTCACCTGGATTAAGTTTTCATGTACGGAACACAAACATAAGTAATAAATCTAAAATTGCATACCTTGAACATAGAGCCATGCAATTAATATAAATTATATAATATATTCAGAACCAAAGACAATTTTTCATTTAAGCAGTCAAAGAATCATCCACAGAGATAGATTTTGGTTAGCGATAGACTTTCTAATCCAGTAGCACCTCAGATGGTAGAAAAATTTAAAATACTCATTGGTGAATAGAACACACACACACACACACACACACACACACACACCCCTCATGAAATTTCAAAACATACTAAAAGATTTTGATAGTGTAAAAAACAATAATTGCTGTGATGAATTACTGTTATGTTGCATAGATATGTAGGACCGCTGACCAGCAAATAGTTGTTAAGATCTCCAGAGATCTGGTCAGAGAGGGCAAAGAAAGAACAGTTATGCTCTGAGGCCCTTGGAAGCAATGTATTTCTTGAAAATCAATAAAAAGAAAGAACATGAGCACATAAAATAAGTTTTCTCATCAAAAGTAGGCAGAACAGATAATTTTAAAATACAGAAAGTAAATAAAAGTTAGGAATGAAGAATATAATAAAAGAAAACTAACTTGAAAATTTGTTTTTATTTTAAGATCAATAAAAAAGGATAATTTAGGAAAGTATGATAAAATAGCTTTAGGAAAACAGTAGCAACATTAATAAGATAAAAAGGCCACACAATTATTGAAGGCAATTTAAAGTTCATCATTTGAATGCTCACAAGAAATGTACAATAACCTGAAATGACTATGATAAAAGTAAAGACGCAATTGTAAATCTTATTCTGTGAAGTTTCAAAATAGCTCCGATAATATTTCTACTTCACAATGAGCCTGATTTTTTTTTGACTAATTGCTTCTAATGCGTAGAGTTAGAAGCCAAGCATGTCACATGTTCTGGGAATCCCAGCTTGCACGGATACTGAGTGGTCAAGTTGAGGGCCATCCCAAAGGTTTACCGGAAGTATATTTCCTGTACAATGAATTAATTTAATATAGAACACTAAGACGAAGGGTACGGTTTACAAAGTTTATGTGAGCTTGCTATAAAATATCAAAATAAAATTTGAATAGAAAAATATTCTAAGTAGATCATTACAAGACTTGATTTTCTTTATAAATACTGCTTATTCATACCATTTTTATTGATTGAGGAAATTAATCAGCATATTAAGAATTTTCTAGTATATGAACTCTGTCACAAGGATTTTTTTCATAATTTTATTGATAAACAGATAGCAATGAGACAGTTTCAAATCAAATCCATAAGACAGTTTCAGTAACTAAAACACTGCATACATTCTTCTTAGTGGTTAATTGCTGTACAAGATGCAGACTTGAGATCATATTTACAAACACAATTAGAACAAATCCCTCTATTCATTAAGAGAATG